ATATTTTGTATATGTATTATGTACTGTATTCTTACAATAAAATAAGCTAAAGAAAAATATTAAGACAATCACAAGAAAGAGAAAATACATTTACAGTCATGTATTTGTCAAAAAAAATTCATGTATAAGTGGACCCTTGTAGTTCAAATCCGTGTTACTCGAAGTTCAACTTTAATTCAATATTTACCCTTTTAAAAACAATTGTCTGACTCTTGTCCCAGATTCAGTCAAGACTAATGCTTGTACCCAGATACCATGATGAGGGATTTCTAATAACCTCGCTTTTTAGATGATTTTGTCTACATGTCACAACCAAATATGCCAAATTTACTAAGGGAAAGAATTTGTAGTATAGATTATCTTTGCATAATAGATGGTAGTTTTTGGTAAGAAAATATGTACAAAACTTTCATGGTTCACATGAAAGGAGTAAGGTGGCTTACTGTATTTTTGGTGGGGGGAGAATTGCTCTGCACCATTTTCCTTTTAAACACTGGTCTCATTACTAGCAGAAAGTACCCTGTGTTTGGGAAGCAGTACAACGTTGTAATGCTAAAGCTGTGTGAGGTGTTTTTGTAATGTGTGTGTGTGTGTGTGTATGTGTATGCGTGTGTAGTTCTCAATTACGGACCAATTAGTGTGCAATGCAGGATGTTTGTGTGGGAGGCCTTTACAGATGAATGGTTTTCCCCTGCTATCCTAGAAATATTTTAGAGAACTCTCTGGAATATGTTTTTGGTTTTTTTTTTTTTTTTTAGTTCTCACATATTCACAAAAGTTAACATTTTAAATATCATCTGAATGTCCCTTTGAAGTTCTGCCCCAGGGTGTGAAGTACTGAGAAAAGGATTTAACAGAGATGCTAATACAGCAGCTTCAGGAGTGATGGAGGAGAGCAGGTGAAAATAACCTAATCCAGGTGAATTCTTTACCAAACAACTGATTTTCCCCCACTTAGATGGGGAGGAAGTTCTAGACAAAGAGTGGTATGTGATTGTCTTTGACGGCTGTAACTCTCTGTGGTTGTTTATGTCCAAAAGAGTTCAGTAGTTCAGGAAGCCCTAATTTTTTGACCTGTCTTGTTCTCAATAGAGCAGCACTTGAGGATTTCATGCCTAGAAGGATTCTCGTATCCCAAAGAAGCCCTTAAACATGACCACACTTCCTAGGTCCTCTTGTACGGTGTTCCTGCCAAGACGAGATACTGTATGAACACCCACATGCCTTACCTACAGTATAGGATTGAAAATGGATAGTCCGTGAACATAGTTCCTTGAGCAATGGAAGATGTGTTTTCAGCAGTTACTATTGCCCTCCTTGAGGGTTTTTTTTCTTCATAATCTGAATGGACAAGACCCTCACCTGCTAGCACGGAGAAACCTAGAAAACGTAGGGGAGCTGATGCTCACTGAGGATTAAAATCTCCTGAAGAGTCTCTCCCTCCTGAAGCCAGGACTGACCAGTTATAGACACAAAAGTGAGTCACTCGTAGCCAGAGTTGGAATGTGGCGCAAGCTGAAAAAAAATCCAATCCTGGCCAGTTCCCCACAGAGACTGGGGCTCCAGAGAGGTAAGATCTCTTGGTTTCTGGTGGTCCTTCTTCTGTCTGGCCCTATCAGAATCCAGGAAACAATTGAGTCTTTTTTTTCCTTTTCTATCTTTGACAGAACTGTACTTTATATCCTTGAATATTTTATTTATTTAATGTGTAAGGCATAAGAAATGATCAAATTTGGACAGAGGGACAGAGCCCTATTTGGTGGGTGGACCCCTCCCCCACCCAAAGGAAACCATAACAGCAAGCATGGTAGATATCGTTAAAATAGCCCTGGCCCTCTGCAGCTATTCCCTTTGTTATGAAGGGAATTTGCTTTGCTAATTATAGCCGTATCTATGTGTCATTCCCTTTTCTGCTCCCACTTTTTTCAAGGCAGAGCCTGAGCTACCTTGGATTTATTGATTCTATACATAAAATACAAAACCCTGATTATACAATGAGTTACCTGAGTTTCTCCGCTAAGAAAAAAAATTGCTCTTCTTGCAAGTGATTTACAATGTGAAAATTGCCTTAATTCATTTACTAAATAAATATATTTATTGAACCCTTATGTGATAGGCACTATTCTGGGCTCACGGAAACCGTGAACTAGGCAGACATAATTTCTACCTCCCAGAGTTTATGATCTAAGGGAATAGTTCTCTTAGGGAACATTCATATTTGCATTTGGTACCTCCCCTCCCCCCACCCAAATCCCTTTCGAAGGAATACTTACTTGTCTTGGGTCCTTGTCTCCTCAGTTGGTAAGTGAGGAAGGTGGACTACATGATTTCCGAGGTGCTTTTCCATTCAAAACATCCATAATATTTTGGAAGATGGAACCTGGTTTGCTCTTAGAGGCTTGGGCAGCTCCCCCACTCGCTGTCAATCATTGTATTATAGAAAGTTTTACCAAAGAGATTATCTGGCAAGGATGGTGATATAGACACAAAGTATCAAGTGTTCACATGACTTAAGGACAAAGTTTGAGGGTCATTCTTCTTAGTAATTAAGATACTGCTAACCATGATATGAACAATTCCAGCAGAATAATAGATCAGACTTAGTCTCATCGGGTTAAGGACTAATTAGTGTAGACATTGCCAATTTCTTTGAGACCCTTTGGTCTTTAGGCAGTATTAAAATGGGAGGATGCTAGAGCTTAGCCATTATGACTACTAAGGAAAGTAGTCAAGACTTATTACACTTGTTTCTAGATCTGTGAACTTCCCTGTTGTAAGTTGTTACCTTAGGTAATTTATCTAGCATCTGTATTGATAAGTGAATCAGATAATGAATAATCACATATTATGTGATCCAATTAATAATCAGTAAAATTTATGAATCATTTAATATTGCCTAATTACCACCTCGGAAAAAGATTTCTTCTCTAGCAGGTGGGAGAAAAGTCCTATATTTTTGTGATAAGTAAATTGATATCCTTGTATGTTTTTACTGCTAGCTATTGCTTCTTTCAAAAAGCAGGGAATTTGGCTAATTTATCTCTTAAAGGAAATATTAATGCTGCTTTATCTAAAGGAGCAGGATACGGAGCAAATTGGTTAAATTGTACTTTAACTGGTTGTCCCAATCTTTCTTGTAATACCTAATACACAAATTAAGCCTACCTTATTTTAGGGCTTCTGACTAATACCTGTTCTATTCTTTGACGGAAGAAACAACACCGTGGTATAGAGCAGCTTTTTAACCCAAGATTCTTGTATGGGCTTTCAGAGTCCATATTCCCCTTGAAATTGTATGGAACAATTTCGTATGTGCGTTTTTCTGGGGAGGGGATCTATGACCCAAAAAAGTTAAGAACCTCTGTTCTGGAGAGGAAAAGGAAAAGAGAAATTTAAGAATAGAAAGATCTTTCACTTGCCAAAACCTCCTCTGTAGCGCTAAGAAGTGGGAGAGTGTGAAAGTGTTGTATTTTTGGTCTTGGTTTTGATCTGTTGGGGTTTGGGGTTGATTTTAAAGCATTTGGGTGATTGGCAAATGCACTTGCCAGATTTTGATGGACAACCTAAAAAAAATAGGTAGTAAAACTTCTGCAGGCCCCCAGATGGATTTCACCTTGAGAGACTTCCTAATCATTAGTTACAGTTCTGTGTAATAGACATGCATTTGTAGTAATATATGCTATACTTATATCTCTCTTACTGTATGAAGAAATGTGTTTATTTGCTTATGTCTCCTGTTTCGGGGTTTGTTTGTTTGTTTGTTTGTTTTCCCCACCTTTTGTGCTCCCAGTAAGCAACTAAAACAAATTAAAGAACTTTTGAGTTTCTCTAAAAGATACTGGAAGAAACTCAGTGGTTTTGTTGTTGCCTCATTAACTAAGAGCAGCTTGCTGTAACAGTTGTACTACAGCAATAACTTTTTAAAAAAGATTTTATTTATTTATTTATTTATTTATTTGAGAGAGAGAGTGAGCACAAGGTGGGTGGGGGTGGGTAGGGAGGTGTAAGGGAGCAGACTCCCCACTGAGCAGGGAGCCCAATGTGGGGCTTGATCCCAGGACCCTCAGGTCATGACTTGAGCCAAAGGCAGACGCTTAACCCACTGAGCCACCCAGGTGCCCTAAAGCAGTAGCTTTAAAGGAAGAAGGTAGATGTATTTCACAAAGACCTTTTTGCTTCAAAACTCATGTGTGCTTAGGCCTAGGTATTGTTTTTAACACTTTTATAAACGATTAGTTTGGCGATTTGCCCCCAGGATGATTTCCCCTATCTTTTGTGGAATAGAACATGTGATTTTTAAGACTCTGACTGCAAATAAGTATGTTCTTTATGTAACCATTTGGGTTTAAAACATCTCAAATTTATCCTATTTAGTTGCCAGAGGGTTAAGTCAACTATGTAATCCATTTCTAGTGTTCCCAGTTCCACAACTACATTTGAAAATCTGTTTCACTGCTTGTGTTTTCTTATAACATTGTTTCCTGCTATTACAACTAAGCTGTCCTGCCTCGCAGTTTGACTTTTTCATCCGACATCTTAGATGGATCATGCCAGTGTTTCCTAAACGACACATTTATGTGGCTATTATGCCTTATTTCCATTCCTCCTTATTACAGACCCTGTCCCACCTGTGGTCAGTTCGGTTAGAACAGTGGTTTTGTCATGGTGATTATTTTATGATTGTATGAAATGGGGCAAATTTTGAGACAATGATTGAGCCAGTAGCAGAATTGGTTGGCATATGCCCATATGATTATTTAGTTTGCTTCCTGCTTTGCTATAGCAGGGAAGAATTCAATTCCTCCCACTTCCTGAAAGTCAAAGGAGGAATTGGAGGACACAGAAGTGAAAGACACCTTATTTTTTACCCCCAAAGTAGCTCATGTGATGTCAGGAAGGGCTTTGATGAAACCACTGGCCCTACTTATAGATCTTATTTTCCAAGCCTTTCATTATTTTATTTGCCCTTTTCTGAACTCTACAATTTCCCTCTCTTGTAGCTGGTTCGATGCCCAGAACTGAATGCTGTGCTCCAGCTGTGGCCTCACCGGTGCTGAATAGAGAGGAAGAGCCACCTTCATAGCTTACATGTGATTCCTCTGCTTATACAACCCAATACTGGATTTACTTACTTTGGCAAGATAGCTGCATTGTGCACTGTATTTAATGTTACGTGTACTGTAACCCTGGGTCTTTCTCTGCATTGCTGCCGTTAAACCCCCAATCCTGCCAATCTAGAACTCCTGCCTTTGTTTACCCGCACCCCCTCCCCCATAGACCCTTCTTACATTCATCCACAATGAATGTCATCTTTATTCTCTCATTTCCTTTCACTCCAGTCTTAAACTTTGGCGAAACTTTCCCTCTGTCTATAAATTATCGGTTGTCAGCCATCTTACTTTCCTCCCTGCTTTGGTAATGGGACAATCTTTCAAGCCTTTTCTCTGGTTCTTTTCCTGTTGGAGTCATTAACCACTTGGCGTTTCTTCCAAACCGAATACCTCCAGACTCTTCTGATTTGACCACCTGATCAAGTTGTTACCTCTCCTTTAGTTCTTCTTTCCAGATTTTCTTGACTCCTCCTGACCTCTATCCCTCTGACTTCGTTCAAGATACAGTATCTCACTCCTCTTCCCCAGAGGGGAGATTGTATATTGATTTACCAGGAAATTTCTAGTAATAAGGAAAGTGTTACTCTTCTCCATTGTGAATAGACTGGTCTTTAATAATTTTAAGCAAATTCTTTCCCTGCCCCTACCCCCTCCCCGAGATCATAATTTAAAAAAAAAAAAAATGTTAGAGGTTAATTTTCCATACATTTCTAAGACTAGTGAGCTAAAGAAAGAAGGAAGGGCAGTGAGGTGGGTATTTGCGTTGGGTAGGAAATGGCCTTCAAGAAAGCTAAACTGAGATTCTTGTTGGGTTTGGCATGGCTGTCTGAAATGGGAGGTGAGACTTTGTTTTTCCTAGATTCTGGAGCATTCTCTTAATCTCGGATTTAGAGTAGGTTTTTAAGTTGGCTTATTTAGGACTGTTGACACAGACACACAGTTATTTAATTGCCTGCTTTGGTTCATCATTTAGAGTGTGGGAAGTGTAACTTTTTCTGATTGGAAGGTCTCCATATGCTCCTTTTATCCATTTCTAAAGTCCCTGCAGTTACACTGAATTCCAGTGTCTCCTGTAGTGGTGGTCAAGTTCATGTTTGAGTTCTCACCTTTTTTTTTTTTCTATCTTAGTTGATGTGTCCCTATTCAAACAGCCTCTCCTTGGATCTGTGGATCTTTTACTGAACACAGAAGGTACCTCTTATGTGTACTTATGTCTTGAGAGAGTTAAAGTCAATCTGGAAATCTTTTTAACATTATTTCAACATATCAAATTCCTATCGTATGGATTTATGAATTACCAAACCTTTTTCCTGCAGGCCCCTGATAGATATTTTACATATCAGCACATTACACTATTAAAGTGTATTACAGAAGTACACTATGAAGAAAGAGGTGGCAAGATCTCAGCCTTTTTTGATGAAATATAGAATGTATCCTGACTATTCTTCGGTCTCTAAAATCATTAGATATTACTAGTTTCCTTATTCACAGTTACATAAGCCAAGTAAAATTGTCAGCTCAATTTGGTGGTTTCAAAAAAAGCCAGTCTTTTCTGTGGTTTCCTGTCATGTATATAGTCAATGATTGGTGGCTTTGCTTTATGCTCATATCACATCCTGAGAAGGCTGGCACCTTTCTTCAAAGGAACATCAGTTTTATTCCTTGACTTCTGAAATAACCCTCAGTGACAGATCCCACTGGGCTCTTCTGTGTGCTGCATGCTTTTCTCTAGGCAGCCAGTAAGGAGTGAGTGGTGGCATCTCCATTTATGGCCTTGGAAGGGTGAAAGGGACATGGCCGGGACTCTCCATGTACGGTCCTTGGAGGAGTTGAAAAGAGTGGTTGGGATGTTCTTGGAGGCAGAAACTAGACATTGTGAGATAAAAATAAATTGGCAAGGAGATGTTTGCAATTCAAATTCCAATCCCTGCAAGGAGGGCAGAGGGCACTGGGAAAGGGGAGTATATAGAAAGTCAAATGAGATCTGCTGCAGGCATTTGTCTCCTTCCATTGGAAGGGTTGCCCTGTGACACATTTCCCAAGTTCCTGCCCGATTTTTCTCTAGAAAGTTCTTTGTTATGTAGTTGTGACTATCTTTTACAAAGAGAAAGAGAGGGAACACTTTTAAAGAGTGTATTAATCAGAAACCTCAGTTCTTTAAGGCATCGTTGGAGGCACCAGAAGAGATTTCTAGAAAGTTGGGGGGGGAGAAGCAGGTGTGTATGCAGGGGGTAGGCTGGCTGGTTTTCTGACAGGAGCCTGCTAACTGCTCTGTTTATGTCTGAGGAAGATCATCCTGTGTGTCCTGCTTGGATTATTCCTTTTGCCCATCTGGATTTCTGGTCTCAAAGGACAGATCTGCAAAGTATTTGACGGTGTCTTGTCGTTTGTCAACTGTGATTTAAAGATGCGGAACTTTCATGCAGGTTCTGTAAAGATTATTAAGAGTTGTTTCAGTTTGGTGAGAATATGTGATATATTGGCTTATGGAAAGTAATCTCACATTTAGGAGAAACCTACAGTCTGGCTAACATGTATACATTAAGTCTGAGGTGAACGGGTTTTGTAGAGTTGTGTCAGAAAGTATTTGAGAGCCATCAGGGAAAAAGGGTCTTGTCTCTCTCAAGAAAATTCTGAGTGAAATCCAGTCAAGGAGAAGAGAGCTTCGAAGGAACAAAAGCAGCAGAGATGGGATAGACACTGGATAGCACTGAACTAAATGTGGATGCTGGGACTAAGTCCTTGATTTATCCTTTAAAACATGTAAGACAGAGTTAAAGAAGCAGGGCGAATGATTGGAAGTATGCATTGAAAGACCATAAGAAAATGGAAGTGTTGTGCAAGATAATAAAATTGTCCGAGTTTTCTCTGTGGACTCACATAGTGATTTTTATTTGCTGTGTGGCACAAGGCAGAGAAGGAAGTAAGATGATACCCTGTCCACCTCACTTCCCTCCCCGCCCCCCCCAAAAGGAAATTATTGGCCTTCTTTGTTGGTTTTAGCTGGCAATTTGTGTTGGTTGAATTGATGAGTATTGGCTAATCTTTCGATGTAGGAATGAGTGTATTGTTTCTGGATGGTTGGTGTTTGAGACTGGGGATCTGTAGCATAATCCGTTTGACCTCTTTCAAATTTTAGCAACCTCCCTAAAGATAGAGTAAGTTAGTTAAGGACTATGGACTTCGTAAGTAATATGTTTTACTAGCTGATTCATTTAGACAATTGTTTTGACCCTGTTTTCCTTCTTAGGAGTAAGGAAGGTTATATTCTTTGCTTTGGGAAATTCTTCTTTCTGTCCTCCCTTCCCTCACTTTTTCCAAATTCTGGGCACAATAGCAGCTCTTTTCTCTTCTGTGGCAGGTGTGCATCCTATTGGCTGGCTGGTATTTCTTGTTTTCTTTTTTTTTTTTCTTATTCTTTTTAAAGGGGGGGTGGGGGTATAAAAATATATGTATGGGGTACATGCAATAATGTTGTAATGTTTCTTGTTGTTTAATGGATGATTAATTGCAAAATAATTGTTTGAATTATAACATGTTTGAGTAAATGCTAAATTAGTTTTTTTTTCTAATATAATAATGAATTTGAAATCTAGCATTCCTGTAACAATGTGTCTATGTTTGTCTGTCTGTGTCTGTCTAATAGTAATTAATATCTGTGGTCCGTACCTGGAAGAGGAAGTACAGCTTTAAAGGAATAACAAAAGACTTTGTGTCTTAGACCCTTCGCAGGTGTTACAGTCGGGTGAAAGAACATGGTGTTGGGAAAAGAAAGAGCAGTTACACATTTGAACAGTTGGAACAGGTGTTTGGTCAGGGAGGATGGGATGCTCAGCCCTGCCAGCCTGTACTTATTAACAGTAGTGGCTTGTACCAGGAGCTGGAGTCAGATGGCAGCACTATGGAGGACTATTCACAGGAGGACTGGGGAAACCACAGTCAGGATCTCCATGGCTATCCAACAGATCAGGAATTGGGTAAGAAAGCCAATACGTATGATATTTAACATGTGTGTGTGTGTGTGTGTGTGTGTGTGTGTGTGTGTGTGTGTGTGTTTACCCCTTCATATGTGCACACACCCTTAGTAGCTGTCCTAGCCTCTGGTGCTGCTCCCATTGTCCACACGAGGCACACGGCCAGCCTCCTTGGGGCAACGTGGGCATCGTTGTTTTGGCCCTAAATTTCCAGCTAGAGCTTGGTGTGAGTCATTTGGATGCGGCTACGAACAAAATTCCTAAAGATGCAGAATTCCTAATCAGGGACAAGTGAAATCCTATGCAATTGAAAATATCCTGCATCTCCTGAGTTCTAAGACAGCTGCCAGGAGTGTTAACTCTTGGTGCAACTTCTCTGGACATGACTATCTTTTCCTTGCTTTATCCCAAATACTTTTCTGTTTATGAATTGGAAAAGGTCCCCAGCCAGACTTTAGTCTGAACAACAACAACAACAAAAGAGAAGACTCAGTTTACATTGAAAGAGCTGATGTTTGAATTTTATCAGTGATCATACTCCTTCAGAATTCACTAAGGATCCCAACCAAGCAGTAGCTGGAATGATTTAGATTAGCATTAAAAATGGAAAACAAAACTCTTGGCCATTGGTTTCAAACTGGGATGGCCTAATTGAAAAAGAGGTATATGTAGTTGTTTTTGCAACAATTGCTCCAGTTTGGACTTTCATAATTTGGAAGTCCAAACCCAGTGTCCGGTGCAGGCAGTGTGGTTCAGTAACAAGTTGTGTGATGAGTGTTCACTTCTAAGTAAACGTTCTGACTCCCCAGTGAGCTGCTCAGGCAGCCTCCAAGGAAGCGTAAGTAGGATTGGCACTGTAAATGTGCTTCCTTAGCTCACGATAAAAGTCCACAGGCCCGCTGTTACAGAATTCCTGATGATAGAGAAATGCTAATTTCAAAAGAAAAAGGATTAAATGCTAATATCTCTTACAAATGCTACATTTTTTTAATCTCTCAAATATTGGAAGGGAAAAGGAGAGAAGAAAGAGGCTATAAAACTATAAGATGAACACAATGTGAGAAACTTAAAGATTGGGAGACTAAAAAGGGCCGATGCCAAGTGATCGCTACCCTTTAATTTCTAAATGGTAATAAGGTCTAAATGGCTCTGGCATCCCATTACTCGGGTTTTGCCCTAGAGAGTTAAGTTCCACCCAAACCTTTGGGAAAAAATAACATGCAGAGTATATTGATCGTGATATTGGGGGAATAATTGCTCTGTAAAACCTACATAGAAAATCTGAGTAGGAGAGAATTTTTCATTCTCGTTTCTTTAAAAATCATGTTTGCCGTGAAATTAAGCTTTAAGCTCCTAGCTAGAAATCCACTGGTGACCTTGAAGAATTTTATACTTGTAGAGCTGGTTTCTGATCTTGCATATAAATGTATGCATCTCATTATATAAGAGTTATATTTATAAATCTGGCATTGGACAGTGTTTGACACTAGAATTACAGCCTTGCATTCAAAGTATGAAATGAACAGTAAACACAGTTACTTCTCTACCTAAATGTATGCTACTTAGAAAAATATAATTTGTTTCAAAAACCTTGCTTTTCAGATGAAATACCTCTCACAAAGAGAACATTAAAAATAAAGCAAGAATCTTCTGAAGAGGCACAGTAAGTAGATGCTTCTTTCTACAAAGTATATTAACCTAAATTTAATGACCGTTGGGAAGACATAGAAAGTCACTGCTGTCATTAGACGTGTATGGAAAATACAGCCATACCATTGAGGGAGCAGTTGTATTCACAGTGTCTCATCTGTTTAGCTTACGTTTGCCAGTAGTTAATCTACATTGGGAATTTTGTATATGACATGAAGAAATAAATGTGTTAACACAAAAACAAGTGTGTTGATGGTGTTTGCCTGTACTCGAATGTGGCTATGTAGGTGTTTCATTACGGTACAGAGATGACTTACAGGGCCCTGAGTTAATCTGGGGTTGGCTGCGATGCCAGAAAGGCTAGAGGGGCACTTGCATGCCTTATGATATTACTCTGCGGGGATCAAGAACAAGCTCCTAGGTGGCCTTTTTATCCATTTGGAAAAGAAAGACATTGACAGACGAAAGATGGAATCCCAGGCTGGGGTCCTTCTGTTGGCTACGTCACCTGAGTTCAGTTCTCTCTTCTGTAAGGAGACCACAGGACTCTGAGTTTCAGTGATGCTATGTTTGTAGTTCTTTTATTTATTTATTTTTAAAGATTTTATTTATTTATTTGACAGAGAGAGAGACAGCAAGAGAGGGAACACAAGCAAGGGGAGTGGGAGAGGGAGAAGCAGGCTTCCTGCTGAGCAAGCAGCCCAATGTGGGGCTCGATCCCAGAACCCTGGGATCATGACCTGAGCGGAAGGCAGACGCTTAATGGCTGAGCCACCCAGGCGTCCCTGTGGTTCTTTTAATTAACTTTAAGGAAGTCCCTCACTAAATCTATGAAATAAATATATTAAAAGATCAATTTAGGAGGAAAGTAGAGGAACGCCATTTTTTTTTTCAATCTGGTCATCCGGAAACCCTGATAGCACCCATTTTTTTCCTTCTGCACTTCATTGTGCGCATGCGAGCTTGATATTTGAGGGGACGGTGGACAAAGGGGGAACAGGCGAGATGGAAAGAGCTGTGATAAGCAACAAGCAATATAAAAAGGAAACTTGTTTTCACTGAGCCAACCACCACTACCATCACCCACTTTGCAAATGCTCCCGTCTTTTTTCAGAGTATCTGTAGAACAAAAGAATTCCCAGTATCAGCTGCTCCCCTTTCGGGGGAAAGGGTAAAAGTTTAGGGATCAAGAATTATTTCTCAAAATTATAACCACTCCCCATGCCTCAACAAAGAAGTTTATGACTCAAGTCAGTAAGCTTGAGGCTGTTTCTTGTTGGGAAGTAGATCTGTTTTCCAGTTGGGACATCAGAATGTCCCAAAGGAAGGGAAACTCTGATGATGAATATTTTTTAAAAATGCATTATTACTAGTCCATCCCTTCAGGCCCTGAGTCTCCAAAAAGGCCATCGTCTCTCCTTTACCAAAATGTCCCGTCTCTCCCTTTCAACTGCTTGGGACCTTGAGGAGAGGCCCAGGTGACCTAACTGGAGATGAACTCAGATCTCACAGAATGGGTGTCCCTACCATCTGCACTTTTCCCGTGGTTGGAATTTCAGAAATCAGGAACTAAAATAGACACTTCTCTGGAGCCATTTAAATAACTGGGTCTCATTTTTACTGTGCTCCGTAGTTTTGAAAATGTGTTGAGTTTTAGGCCCAGGGATCTCCAGACAGACATCAGATCAGCAGGTTCCGTAGAAACGGACCGCTTTGCTGCCTCTGCTCCAGGTTTTAGCTCACACAGTGAGAAGCTTTAAAGTGGTTCCTAATAGGCCATTTATTTTCCAGTGCAAGTTTCCTCAGAACTATTCCTTATGGATGACTTAAGGCTAAGACAATGCTGAATAAAATAACTTCATCTGGGCATTGGATGTTTTTTTCTCCAAGTATAAGTGGGATGAGCCTAAGATAGCGGACATAGTGTGTAGTTAAAACGTACCAACCTTCAGGACGCCTGGGTGGCTCAGTTGGTTAAGCAACTGCCTTCGGCTCAGGTCATGATCCTGGGTTCCTGAGATGGAGCCCCGTGTCAGGCTCCCTGATCCTTGGGGGGCCTGCTTCTCTCTCTCCCTATGCCTGCTGCTCCCCTTGCTTGGGCTTTCTCTCTGTGTCAAATAAATAAATAAATAATCTTAAAAAAAAAAACCTCTCAAAAAAAAAAAATATATATATATGCGCCATCCTTCATCCATAAAGTAGAGTCACCTAACCTGCTCATTTAGTTGGCAGTTTTTTGCCAAGTGCCTACTTCATGGCAGGCACTGGGATGTTGATCAGTGAGCAGAATCGATGATAATCTCTGCCCTCCACCATCCCAACTCCTTAGCCTGGTCCTTGAGATCATTGTAGCATTTCAAAAGAGGACAAGGAAGCATGGTGGCTGTATACGAGAGCTTTTCTTTCAGCATTCATGCAGACACACGGTCCTCTATCTTTACCTCCTGAGCACCAAGCTGAGTATGACTGATCACTGAGTGCCTTTGTGTACTCTGAGAAGGAGCAGTTCTCCAGCAATGCAGTGATTTTATCGAGATGGCCACTCCAGTACTTGAGAATTTCTGTGACAAACTAAAGAGTGGAAGATAAGTCTAGGGCAGTCTCTGCTTCGAGAAGCAGCAGGCGACAAAATCTTAGCATTTTGTCATCTTGCAGAGAAAGCCAAAGAGAGTAAGAGGACAGACTGAGAATGAGTACGTGGGAGGTTCCCCAGTTTGTTCCCCAAACTCTTCCCCTAGAAGATACAAGGATTTAATAGGAAACTTTCAAGCATTGTCTCCTTCCAAGAAGCTATACACCCTCTTCTCTTTGCCTGCATTTGATCGTACATAAGGGTGGTCGTTGAGTATTTTTGTAGCTTAAACCTATGACCGATGTAGACTGTAATAGATTGTTATTAAGTTAACATTTAACAGACTTCCATCTTTCAATGTCAAAGTCTTTGCCATACCTGAGAAACAAACTTGTAATTACATATGCTCATATATAGTGCATGAATTATAATAAAGTATCAGTTACGGTTTTAGGAGTTAAGCAGCATTTGAAACAAAAACTTCCCAGCACATTCAGCCTTACTCTGTTAACTCTCCAAATCCAAATTGAAATAATTTCTATACTTTTGCTCCCCTTTAGCAATAGTCCCCATTCATTTTTCCCTTCTAAGCT